AAGAGCGAACTGGCCAGCGTGCAGGAGGGGGGCCGGAAACACGCATGGCTATAGATGCTCATGCGGATGATGCGGAGGCCACTCGCTGGATACACGCGCGGAGGGCCACCGAGTTTGGGCACAGAAGGGCCAAGCGCCGGAGAGGAATATAGTCAAATTGAAGGGGCCCAGGGACACACAAACAAATAGACACAAATCCCAGGACTCACCATATTTTCACATATTTTCTGGGTTTCCGTCTTCCCCCTACTTCCCCATGTTTTCCTGGGAGTCGACGATTCATTGCGTCTGTGCCCCTCCCCGCAAATGTGCATCTGGCTTTCGCCCAGGCCAGCCGCGTCATGTGTATCTAGCTCCGTGGCCCGTGGCAGTGGGCGGACGAGACGACCGAGGTTGATGGGACGTGTCTTGGCCCGCTCTGGGCGTCCCCCGCCTGTCCTCTCGTCGTGAGGAAATCAAGGCGGGAAGCCGTTGGCAGTTTTCGGCCGCTGTGGGCCCTTAACAGGCCCCAGGCCCTTCAAAAAGCAACTCGCGATGAAGAGCTGGTCCCGACGAAGCGAAGTCCAGACAACCACGGGTCCACGTTGCGACTCAAAATCGCAACGCCCGAGGCCTGGGTCCAGAGACCTACCGAGGCCTCCAGGAGGCTCACATGAGAAGCCAGGACGAGGATCTCCAGGCCACCGACGGCTTTCTTCCAAAGTCTGGGCACATGGCCGATTCCAGAAACCCTGAACCCCAAAGATTGTGCCATCTCTTGGGGACGCATTTTTACCCCCGCCGCCTTCCGCTGAGCTTCCGCCGGCTTTCGCCGGCGGAGGCGGCCTCGTATTATTTCCGCCGCCTTCCGCTGGCTTTCCGCCGAGGAAGAGATGCCAACTCCTTCGATCCTTGAAGGCGATGCCCTTTCTGGAACGCCTCATGTGTGGGGGGCCCGATTTGGGGCCGCAGTGCCTTCAGGTTGCGCTGTAGCCCAGGGTATCACCGCTTTCCACCGCCTGACCCCCTCTAAGGTTTCTTGAGCCCTTCCTGCAGCACTCGCTGCAGAAATCCGCCCCAAAGCCCCCGAAACCCTC